ATAAGACTAACACATTACACGTAGCGGTCGTGGAATCAAAATTGTTTTCTGCATAGTTACATCCTCCCCCTCCCCCACCCCCCTGCGGCTTCATGTCTCGTGTCTTTCGCTATACATTTACATATAAGAACTATGACAGGGACACTGTGCTGGAGAGGAAACGGTGCAGACGTCACGCGAGCCCACATCACTCCTGGCACTGGATGCACTACGCAGCTAGCCAAAATATTATTTGAAGTTATATTATAAATTAGGAAGTTTTAGTGATGAGAAACTTCGCTGTGAACTGACCAAACGCCTCTAGGTCGGGGAGCACACCCCCGAAGAAATTCGGAGGTGTCGCACGGATCCTACCTCTGCGTGGTGGGGAAGACTAGAAGGGAGGAGACTCCCTGAAGCTAAAAGATCCAAGCAAAACGCATGACTTCCCACGCAACGGAAGTTGCGTGCTAACATGATGACGTGTCGCCGATAATGGCTTGGGTTTTCTTTAAAAACCCTTGCTGAGGATTAAAAACATGCGGCCTTGAGAAAGCCGCTCCTAGGTGACCGTTTCGTCCCGACAAAGTCCCGTCCGAACTACTCCCCAAACGGTGGGGTGAGGTAACGCAACACCTTCCTCGGAGAGGAAGCAAAGCCGTCTTGACCCACGTCCACACAACTCCCAGGAACGGTGGGGGAAAGATAAGCTCCAGACTACTCCCGGAGAGGAAGTAAAGCCGTGCCACACCAAGGAGCGTACGGCTCCCTGGACGGTGGGGTGAGGTAACGCAACACCATCCAGGGAGAGGAAGCAAAGCCGTTCCAAACCAACGTCCAGACCGCATGACTCATTGGGCAAAAAAAAGGGGGGGGGTGTGGTGACACAAAACTGTCCCCTGATGAGTGGAAGCAAACTGCCCAACACTCCTTTTACTCGAGACCGTGTTGCATGGCCCGAGTCCCCAGGGACTACTAGGCCATGTTTCATGACCGAGGTCCTAAGAGACAGACTCTCGACCTCCTTAGAGTATTGAACTTTTTCAATGATTAGAAAATGTGTTTGGTTAAAAAAAAAAACGGGACATTTAGGCGTCCCGAGAGACTTTTTCGGGACAACGGGTACGATCGTGAAAAAACTGGACCATCCCGATTTTACGGAACGTTTGGTCACCCTACCATAAACTCATGTCCCTTTTAACTTATGTCTCCCTAAACGCATGTCTCCCAAAACTCATGTCTCTCTAAACTCACCTCTCCCTGAACTCATGTCTCCTTAAACTCATGTCTTCCAAAACTCGTGTCTCCCTAACCTCGTGTCTCCCTAAACTCATGTCTCTCTAAACCCATGTCTCCCTAAACTCATGTCTCCCTAAACTCATGTCTCCCTAAAATTCATGTCTCCCTAAACTCATGTCTCCCTAAACGCATGTCTCCCTAAACTCATGTCATACCATTCTGTCAAGGATGTTCATCTCAGTCCTTATGTTCCCATTGTGATAATGTTCCCTGTCAATGAGTTCCCCTGACAATAATGTTCCTCCTTTTTATGCTTCCATTATGCCTCCCCTGTAAATGATGTTCTATATATCATATATATCTTGTGATGTTCCCCCTGCCAGGATGTTCTATATATCATGTGATGTTCTATATGTCATATGATGCTCCCTCTGCCATGATGTGCTATGTGGCCTGTGATGTTCCCCCCGTCATGATGTTCTGTATGTCATGTGATGTTCCCCTGTCATGATGTTATATTATATCATGTGATGTTCCTCTGCCATGATATTCTATATGCCCTGTGACGTCCTCCCTGTCATGATGTTTCCCCAGTTATAACCCCGCCCCCCCCCCCGTTATGATATCCCGCTGTCATAATGTTCCTCCTGTCATAATGTTCCTCCTGTCAAAATGTTCCTCCTGTCAAAATGTTCCTCCTGTCATGATGTTTCCCCAGTCAAAATGTTCCCTTTGTCTTGATGTTCCCTTCGTCATGATGTTCCTCTCTTTTCAATGATGCCATTTATTGTTTAATAAATCGTCCAATTATCAATCGTTGAATCTCCCTCCCCCACCACCCCAACCACCCCCAGGGGGCCGTCATTGACTCACCCTCTCCCTACCAGCATGTAGATGATAGAAGCTACGATAATGAGGAAGCCAACAGAAGCGATGACAGCTCCAGCAACGATGACGTCACGGAGACCTGTAAATAAATAATAGTGTACTTAACAAAACAGCTCACCCGATATCAATGTGCGTTTCAGATTCAATGTATCGAGGTGTGTTGTATATTAGTATCGAGATGTTTGTGGTATATTAGTAATAAGATGTGTTGTGGTGTGTTGTGTTATATTAGTATCGAGATTTATTGTGTTATTTTAGTATCAAGATGTGTTGTCGTATATTAGTATCGAGATGTGTTGTCATAGCTTAGCATCGAGATGTGTTGTGTTATATAATATTACTATCGAGAAGTGTTGTGTTAAATTAGTATCGAGACGTGTTGTCGTATATCAGCATCGAGACTTGCCATTGTGGCCTATGAGTATCGAGACGTGCCGTTGTGGCCTATGAGTATCGAGACGTGCCGTTGTGGCCTATGAGTATCGAGACGTGCCGTTGTGGCCTATGAGTATCGAGACGTGCCGTTGCGGCCTATGAGTATCGAGACGTGCCGTTGCGGCCTATGAGTATCGAGACGTGCCGTTGCGATATAATATTAGCATCGAGTTGTGTTTTTGTCGAATGTACGTGTCAAAATCTGTTTTTGTATTTGCCATCCGACGCCGTAAGCACGACGCGGGATCACGCTACTAACTTGGTGCTGTGATTATGTAAGGGAGGCAACTCTTTACGGGGTGCCCCCCAGTTATGCATATTTACGTTGTTACTTCCCTGCAGATAAGGTCCACCGTGCACCCGAGCCCCTTCCCCGTGTAGCACCTCGTGTTACCGTGCATTTGATTCACCAAACTGTTTTCTCACAATTCTTACCCTAATATATTATAAATATTTAAATGGCTGCGGCTATTCGGACCTGGGTCCCTTTAGACTCAATGGTATTCATATGTCATTTGTGGTAGTTTATGTAAGTTAAACTGAAGAAGTAAGTTTAGAAAAATATAGTCCATTCAATTATATTTCATTTGATATCAAATTTCGTCTTACAAACACTCCAAAAATTTTTTTTAAATTTTTAATCCCAGCCTCTGACTCTCGGCCCGGGTCCGAATAGCCACAAATGGACTAATCCTTTCCACTTGAACACCACACATATACATACAATTAAAATACATCTACAAAATAGAAATAGAAGAAAAAAGAACAGAAAATAGGGGGAAAAGGGAACAAGTAGCCTACCCTAAGAGTAGGTCACGACTCACCATGTATGATTGTCTGCCAGCCCCTGGCACCCAATGGTCAGTGGATATAATATTGGAGGTGGCTAGTGGTACAACTTTTCAACTATATCAGGACATCAGGAAGTGGGTCAAAATAGAGAGGCACGAGTTGACATGCAGAGGTCACTCAAGGGTCAATGAACGTCAATGGTGACCCAATGACCAGTAAGAGTTGCACTGTTAGCGGGGAGGGGTGTGTCTACTAATTTTCAGCTAACTGGATAGCATGATTTTGGGGGGGGGGGAGATTGAGATGCCAGATTTGACCCTTAGCTGTCATTTAAGGGTCGTTGGAGGTCACTGCTAATGTACTAATGATGAAGGGTCGTATTGTCATCGGAGTTGGAGATCAGATAGTGAGAATTTAAGATTTGACCCATATAGGTTAGTCAAAGGTCAGAGGAGGTCCACTCTGGACCTACTGATCATGAAGAGTTGTATTGTCCTAGGGGGGTGGGTAAGTGTGCAAAGTCTCAGCTCAATTTGAGACCAGGAAGGGATACCAACTGAGAAGCAAGTTTGACCCTCAGAGGTCACTCAAGGGTCAGTCGGGGGTCACTGGTGACAATATAGAAGATAAACATTTCTCAAGACCCAATGATATTAATAAAACCATCTACACATAGAAACTTATTGGAAAAATTGGAAGTCATATTCACTATTTCCTAAATAGACATTGCAAGGACCACCACAGTGAACTGTCAACATCTAGATTTTTTAAATTTAAATTTTATTTCAAGTGTTGTTACAATGAATGCCTGACTCCCTTGAAGGTAGAGGACCCCACTGGGACCCTAACATTGAACATCCTTGATTAAAATTAATTAATTTCAACCACATAGATAGGATCCCAATATGGCCCTTGTGTTATTAAAAAAAAGCTCACATATTTCAACACTTATAGCTCACCAAGAAATTGACTTTTAGCCTTGATTTTTGAAACAAGTGTTCATAATAATTGATATTTGAAGGACCGGAAGTAAAATTGCTGCATTTTAATGCACAGTTGTTTTTGTGGTGAATTTTTAAAAAATTGAGTATTCTGAGAATGCAAGAAATTTGTTGTTTTTTTAAAACTAGAAAGCAGCCAAAAAAATATTTACCTTCAGTGTACTGCATTTATATTAATACAGGATCTTCATTATAAGGTTAGAAATATCAACAGCGAATTTCAGGCCAATCAAATAAAAATTGCTCAGAATATCAATATCATATTTAGAAATGAAATAACAAGTTCAATTAGTACACAAACACATAATATTTCTAAATATATGAAATGCACTTAACTAAAATTGACGAATTTTAAAATTTTATATCAATTTTGTGGGGGTCTTCTACTCACACTAGATTAAATCCGACATTTAGATAACTACTTAAAATAATTCTTTAAATATGTTCTAATTTATATTAATAATATATTAAAGATTACATATACATACATATAAAAAATTTTTTCACACATATACATACATATAAAAAAAATTTTCACGATCAGGTTTAAATTATTTTATCCAACTTTAGTCAAATTAATTAAGCGACCCCTATAAACCAAAGTTTTCATATAAATCCTTTATAAAATTTAATATTGGTTAATGGGGGGGGGGGGGGAGAAGGGGGCAAGCTGAATATTAGACAAAACATGCGTACAAGCAACAAACTAAATAAGAATCATAATTAGTGCTCCCTCCTCAAAGCTCGCAACCACACCAATTTTTCACGCCCTTGAACTGTATTAATATTCCAATGGCGTAAACGCTTTTACACGGCAGATTTATATTACAAACTATTTCAGAAGAAACAAAAGAAGATATCACGCAACTAGTGCACTTGCCATATTTAGCGCAGTTATCGGGAATTTTATTTTGGGAAGTCATATTTCCTTCACCTGCCCCTTAAAGACAGTAAAAACAGAGTTTTGGAGTTTGAAGGTGGGGCTGAAAAATTGAAAGAACGTGTTGTCATCGGTAACTAGTCTATGTGTCAAGTTTTAGCTCAATAGGTTGATGGGAAATGGGTCAATTCCGAAGATTTTTCCAGCCCGCCACAAACAAAAGCAAACTTAATATAAAGGATTTCATAAAAACAAGACTTGCTATCAATGTTTTTTAAGAATCAAATTTAGTGAAGAAAATAGGAATTTTTTTTTACGCAACCATGGAACACCAATTTACACATTGCTTAACGAATCCAATGGGACTTTGATTTTGGGCCCTTATAGAACAGAGAACATGATGGCATTGACTCATAAGCTTGCAGAGAGCATCACTAGCAAAGAGCATCACTAGCGGAGAGCATCACTAGCGGAGAGCTGATGATGGCATTGGCTCATAAGCTTGCAGAGAGCATCACTAGCAGAGAGCATCACTAGCGGAGAGCATCACTAGTGGAGAGCATCACTAGTGGAGAGCATCACTAGCGGAGAGCTGATGATGGCATTGGCTCATAAGCTTGCAGAGAGCATCACTAGCGGAGAGCATCACTAGCGGAGAGCATCACTAGTGGAGAGCATCACTAGTGGAGAGCTGATGATGGCATTGGCTCATAAGCTTGCAGAGAGCATCACTAGCGCATGGTCCAAGAGTGTTTTTACACTCTTCACTACTCTGCCCTGTATCAAGTATCAGCGATTACACTGATCTTAAAACTTTTGGACTACAGAAGACGAGTAATTTCGTACATGATATTGTTAATAAACATGAAGTTAAAAATACATTTTTACGTAAATGTAATTGAAGTATCTTGCATGTGAAACCTCAGCCTGTCATTAGGGCCACATTCAACAGCTGGGAACTGCTAAATTTTAAAAATCAGTAGACTTACACTAACAAAACTATTAAATTGATGTGTATGACGTCACCAGTAAATGGAAACAATAGTGTCATATATACTCCTGCTAAACACACATCCTCTTTGTTTGCAGATTGTAATTTGTAAGGAAACAGATATCATTTGGTCTCCGGGTACCATGTGAGTCCAGGGCATGCCTTAAACTCAGCAAGGGTCGCGTATCACGGTGACCTCAAACAATCTCGGATACTCTGCCGCTGCTCGTAGCTCAAGTTCTGGTCCAGATCCCGGACGACAATGATCCTGGTGTCGTCCAGGACGTCAAACAAGTAGTCTGGGATGTTCTTGACCTGGGTCTCCTGGACGAGGACCAGAACGCGGTCATGGTTCATTGACGTCACAGAGTGGCTGGCGTACTGTTGGGGGCAGGGATGAAATTAAAAAAATAAATTATGAACAATAAAATATATCAATAATATATTATCTGAAGTTGTTGAACATGCAAAACTATTAAATAAATTGTTTTGGCAATTACCTGTAACAGCATGTTACACTTTTCTGCAAAGGCGTCTGTCTAAAATTATCAGTTATATCCCAGGTTTCCATTTTTGAGTCACAACCCATTTTATGTACTGGTACAGTACACGAAATGAGACCCGCCACATCATTTTGTATTAACCCGTATAAACTGAAGAAATGTTTTTTTGAAGCGTATGCATTTAAAAAAAAAATCTTATAGAAGGTATTGGCACAAGCAGAAACAATTTTCATTGGATCTCAAACCTTCATAACGATGGTAGCCTGGTCGTAATTGAGGAGGAAGTTGGTGGTGATCACCAAAAGGATTCTCCAGCTGTCTCTGATGGCCTCAAAGAGCTGTTGGTCGGTGTAACCTGGTCCCAGGTCCCGTTGGTGGATGAACGTGGTCACCCCGAGGTCGTGCTCTAGATATCTGATGATAGAATTTCTGTTAGTTTTGTTAATCTGGACAGCAAAGTCATGTCAGTTTATCTGGATAAAAAAGTCATGTTAGTTTATCTGGATAAAAAAGTCATGTTAGTTTATCTGGGAAAAAAAGTCATGTTAGTTTATCTGGGTAAAGAAATCATGTTAGTTTATCTGGAAAAAAGAGTCATGCCGATTTATATGGACAATGTAACAGCTCAATTACTACAATGATATTGTCTTACATAACTTTATATTAACATAGGATATGGATGGAAATGTAATGTGCAGAAGGAGAAGAAGTGATCTTGTGATATGGTCAAGATGGTCATGAATGTTTTCTTTTGCCCTTGCAATGATGTATCTTATGGCATCGGATTAGCCATCATTTATTAAAATGTTTTACGAAAGAAGTGAAGTGTACAAAAGGATGTCAAGTATTTTACTCCAATCTGGAGATTTATTTCAAGTTGTAAAGTGAAATGTTTTTGTGAATAAATAAAGTGAAGCTATCTATTGGATTTTCCTCGTGTCCGTACAGTACAGTTATCTTAATAATTATTAAGAAAGATCTGCAACGTTGGATGCAGTTAGACCATTATAGATTATTAAGTAACGGAATAAAAAATGCACAACGAATATACACAATCAATAACAAAAGACGTTACAGACATTAAGTCATGTTAATCTATCTGGACAAAAAATTCATGATAGTTTATCTGGACAGAAAAGTCACGTTAGTTTATCTGGATAAAAAAGTCATGTTAGTTTATCTGGACAGAAACTTCATGTTAGCTTATATGGAGAAATAATTCATATTAGTTTATCTGGACAGAAAAGTCACGTTAGTTTATCTGGATAAAAAAGTCATGTTAGTTTATCTGGACAGAAACTTCATGTTAGCTTATATGGAGAAATAATTCATATTAGTTTATCTGGACAGAAAAGTCATGTTTGTAATCTGGACAGCAAATCATGTTTGTTTATATGGACAGCTATATTTTTTAAATGAAACTCTAGTAGATGAAGTCAACCTAGGATTAACGACCATTTGGCCTAAGATTAGGACAATTTGGCCTAAGATTAGGACAATTTGGCCTAAGATTAGGGACAATTTGGCCTCAGATTAGGACAATTTGGCCTAAGATTAGGGACAATTTGGCCTCAGATTTGGGACAATTTGGCCTAAGATTAGGGACTGTTTGTCACTGAATTATGTGCCATTTGGCCTAGGATTAAGACCATTTGACCTAGGATTCGGACAATTGGGCCTAGGATTAGGGACCATTAAGCCTAGGATTAGGGACCAATTGGCCTAGGTTTGGGGGCCATTTGACACTGAATTATGGGCCATCTAGCCTAGGATTAAGACCATTTGGCCTTGGAGTAAGGACTATTTAGCCTAGGATTAGGGATCATTTAGTCTAGGATTAGGGACCAAGCGACCATTTGGTCTAGGATAAGAGACAATTTAGCCTAGGATTAGGGACCATTTGACCTAGGATTAGAGACTATTTTGCCTCGGATTAAGGATCATTCAGGCTATAATCAGGGGCCATTTGGCCTTTGATTTTTGAAACCTTTAGCACGAAGCTAAAAGGCCATGGGAAGTTTTAAGGAAAATGGATAATGACTTTTTAATTTTGTTCTTGTATTTTCACAAAATTATTATTAATTTTGAATTTTTTTATGTAACACCTTAACTTTAAGATAAATATTCTTTGTCAGATTATACATTATATCTAAGATGAAAATATATGATTGAAGTTTAAGACCTTATGCAGTAGTGTTTACCTTCCTAATGTATACCGCACAAAGTGACAATCGTCATCCCCGTAGCCAATGAAAACATGCGTCTTATAATCTTTGGCCGTCATTGGCCGGAATGCTGTCGTGAAGATTTTCATGGTGAATGCAACAATGGCCGTCTTGAATCTGCTCAGTAGGTAAGCCAAGAGGAACGCTAACACCATGATGAAGGCCAAGATCAGGGACAGCATGAGGGAGGTGCTGCAACGGAAACAAAAAATCAAATGCATCATCTTATATCATCACTGCAATGGCTTGTAATGTTTATGGAAGCTCAACACACAACTCACATATGCAAGGTATACGACTTACGCTTCTCAACACACTGTCTTCATTTGTACACCATCTCAACATGCAGCTTGAAACTGAACACCATCTCAGGAAGGAATTTTTAAAATAAATTTTTACTGTCTTTGAAATGCACTCACCTGTAGTGAATGCACTCATCTGCCGTGACATGCACTCACCTGTCGTGACATGCACTCAACTGTCGTGACATGCTCTCACCTGTAGTGAATGCACTCACCTGTCGTGACATGCACTCACCTGTTGTGACATACACTCACCTGCCATTGCACTGCCTGCTGAAGCCCTGCAGATCCAATAAGATGATCCCAGTGCTGGTCATGTGACCATTGTCGTAAGTACACGAGTAATTGCCATTCATATCTAAAAACTTGCTGTTGTCTATCCAAGCTGTGGAATAAAAAAAAGAAAAAGAGTTTTATCTAGTCGATGTTTCTACAAATCAATGATTCACAAGATATTTTATTGGAAAATATTGAACTGAAATTATACTTATTTACATTATATGAAAACGAGCAAAGGTGACCATGTTAAACTGATTTGTTTTTTTCTAATTTAAAATTTTAAATCCTTTTTATATCAACTTCTCTTTTGTTTGTGGGTGGCTGGCTATGTGGCAGGAAAAATCTTTGGACAGCTAAAAGACCCACTTTGCGTCGATCTGAAACTAGGCACATTGAGTTGTTGCCGATGACAACACATTCTTTCGAATTTTCACCGAACATTAGTTGTTTGGGAAGTCTGCTGTCTGGCATTCTCACAACACGTCATCCCCCACCTGGCTTGTCCTTTTTATAGAAGCATGTGGATGCTAATAAAGTTAGCCAGTTGTAGGAGCTCTGCCCCCCCCCCCTTGTACCTATAAGTTTACATAGACAGTGTGGGTGGAGATAGCTGATTTGTCTTGCATGTCTGCTGTGCATTGTCCACATCTCGCTAGCATATAGGACAGGTTCAAATGATTGCCCTATATACTTTCATCTTAGTGACAAGAATGAGATCCCTTAACCACACAAACTCCCACTGAGTCTTCCAAATGCAACATTTGCTTCGAAAATTCAGTTATTGATCTCATCAACTCTTTTTAGTTACTGACTTGGAGAGGTTGGTGCCCACATCTATAAATTTTTTCCACTGCTTGGAGATCCTGTCCCCTTCACTGATATTTCAGGGTTTTGTAAGCTTTTCCTGGAGACGGCTGGTGCAATGTCTCTGGGTTGTTTTTTTTTCGTATTGATCGTGAGGCTGCAGTTTTCTACAGGCCTTAGAATAGCTGACATCTTATCATAACAGCCGGCTGCTACAAAAGATAATCCCATTTCTCGTCTACCACATAAAATGTAATACACTGCGTGGTAAAACTGGAGTGGGACATCATAATGTTTATTTAGTTCTGGGGCATGTCAAAAAGTGTGCTGTAGCAAGCAAATGTAAGGGCATTAACATCCCGAGGCTGCTTTTTATTAATGTTTATTAAAAACTTGATAAAATAATTATGTGCAAAAAAACAGAGATTGTGTTCAGGAGATGCGATTTTTTAATTTTTGCCCCAGACAGCACATATTACTCCACAGTACGGCTAAAGGAAATAAGCGAAGCAAAGAATGGGGAAACCTCAAAAAAGGACGTAACAAAACACCGAATGTATCGACAAGAAGCCTTCTTTAGCAAACACACAACACTAAAAACACAATGACAATAAACACATGGATGCACTGTAGTATCCTCAGCATTGGGGGAAGGCATTTGAAAAAAAAATAACCTTCTTCGATAAACACATGTCGGGTGCAGGGAATATGGTGTGTACTTTTTTTAAGTGGATGACTATCTTTAAATCTAATGATTATTACAGTTGTGGAAAAAAATAATTCGATTGTCCTTTAAAATAAATAAACATGGTGTTATACCAAGTTAAGAAAGTACACCTAAAAGGAGTTGACTAACAGTCGGTACATTTACTCAAGTTTACCTATACCTCAAAAAAGTTGGAAAAGGGGAAAATAGAGGATATGATTTTCTTTGCAACGAAAGACATGGAAGGTTTCCGGTAAATGTGAAGAGATAGCATCGCATTTTTTTACTTTGGTTGCCGCGACGCGCGAACTTATGTCCTAAATGTATCCCTACACCTAACCTGAACCCTAAACTTATCCCTGACCTGGGTTTTGACCCTATCGGAACCAGGGTTTTGACCCTATCGGAACCAGGGTGCTATCTCTTCACATTAGCCGACTATCCTAATTTTCTAAAGAAACCGTTTAAGGGCAACATTAAAAGGTGGACACATATTTATTAGAAATAAACAATGTCTATTTTTTAAAATTTATTGTAAATATTTGTTGAATATACATTTCACGTGCCAAAGAGAGAGAGAGAGAGAGAGAGAGAGAGAGAGAGAGAGAGAGAGAGAAAGAGAGAGAGAGAGAGAGTGGGAATATTTTTATGTGGATAAAAATATCTCAAATCTCATTCATTTAACACACATAAAAATTTAATTTTTAAAAATATACCACCATATTTTTTCATTTACACTTCAGGGGCGTGAACAATGATGGGTTCATATTTTCTTTCCAGATATAAAAAAAAAATTATTTTGTCCACTTTGTTGCAAAATAAGTTAATGAAAAAGGGGGGTGTAAATTTTTATGATAATAAAAATATTTCTTTAACCCTTTCCGCGGAAACTGGGTGTAATACACCCGGAGACAGGCTTTGATTGCTTTTAATAATCTTTCTCATACTCTACCTAATCCACAAGGTAGTTGAAATGAACACCTTGGTGGATGCAATTGTATAAAGCATGCGAAAGTGACTTATTTTTTTGGGGCCTAAACTTTTTTTCTACAGTCCCTAGCAACTGGGTGTAACACACCCCTACATCATTTAATAGAAGAAAAAACAGTCTAAACTGGCTTGTGAACATTTTTGTTTGGTTGTTGTTTGTTGATTATTTGAGTCTGTAACTCATGCCATAAAATAGATTTTAAATTTTGACAATAAATAAATATTCTGAATGGATTTGGGTACAGGGGTACCAACAATAATAACATATATTCAAAACTTGACAAACCATTTCAAAGCAAAACAGTCACACGTACACATGGAAAATAGGGACTTTGCAGCTCAGCTGGCCAAGATTTTACATAAAAGAACAAAATGTTCATTGCAAATATGTCTAATAAACTTTCTGAGTTTGAAGTGATTTGGGCAGCTGTTTGAAGTGTTTGCAAAGATTTCAAAACACTGGCGACCTTCTGCATCACAAAATTTTGCGGAGGGGTGAGGAAATATGCAACGTCAATATTGACTGCCTGTTGTCTTCAAGAGAAAGTGAGTTAGTCGGATATTTATAGTTAAATGCCACTGTTGCTACAAATGATGCCAAGTCAACAATGTTGGAAAACACAACAAAAGGCCATCTGTTACTTTTAGTTTTTTTGTATTCATAGAGAACACCTTCACTATTTGATAACTAATTATAAAAAGTGTTGGACTGCGATAAAGCTTTAAAATAGATTAATAAGACACGAACAAATTGTGTCAATATAACAATATAAGTTCCGCTTTAATAATAGTAGTAACACTGCAGATAGAATCTATATTGAGAACAAATTAATAACTAGATTTGGCACGTTGTCTCCACATGGAATGAACCAAATCCCCAATTTTACTTTGCTGCCACGTCTTTTTCCTGTTTGGTTTTTACAATTATGTTAAAATCACTTCCTTTCTACTTCTCTTTACTTTGTTTTTGTCTGGTTTTAGCGCCCTCTCCTATATTTTTTCTGTTTTAGGTAGGATATGTATATTGATATTATGTAAATTTAATTTATACTTATTTTAATGTGTTTTGTTTGTTTGTACTGATGAAGGCATGTGCCGAAACGTTTAATTGTGTATAATGTATAATTATTATTAAAGTGGAACTTATATTGTTCTAGTGACACAATTTGTTCGTGTCTCACTATTTGATCCATGGCGAATAAGCCTCCTGTGATTTTGTTGTTATAGAGCACAATCTCTGGTTTCTTGCATTCAGTTTCACTTTCTATTTGTGGATGATTGTGTTCAGGAGCAATACATTTTACTGCTTGAGCTCTGGTATTTGATAAGGTTGTTTCTAATCTGAAAAAAACCCACACTTATTCATTGAGGGGCAGAGCCTTCTCTTGCTCGAACCCCTTGGGTAGGAATTACAAGGAACATCCTGTTCCGTTTCTTTGTTCTAACTAGGGTGAGTCTGTTCTTGGCTATTGGTTCTGCAAAATGTAGGGGAATGAAATTGCGGCCACTTCCATGGAAGTCCGTTGTCAGAGAAATCACAGTCTCCGGGGATATTCCAACATTTCTGTTTGCTGGCAGGGCATTTGCATTTTCTTTGCCGAGATAAAAGCAGCCTCTAAGAGGATAGTTCAAAGAAGAATATTTGCAGGCCCAAAAGATTTTATTCCATATTCGTTGAGCTTGATTGGCATATAGTGAATAAATCTGCACCGGGCTCTGAAACCAACCAGTTGCTCACCTACTGTGATGTTCTCTCCAGGAAAAAAGTACCTTGCCAAATTACTCAGAAATGCTTCTCCAACATCTTTTATGGCAGCAAAGATGTCACGAGCCAGAAATGATTGGTCTAGAGTCCTAGTTGTCGAAGCCAATGTGAATCAGAAGTTTGCTGAATCTCTTCATTGAAAGTTTTGCCTTAAAAAAGGATTTCCATCAAACTGGCTGAATAAAAATTTCCACCATAATGCTGTTGAGGTGAAGAGTGAGTAGTAGGCAGCCAATAAAAGTTTTCATTTAGATTGCATCAGTCCCTTGCCATGTGTTTTCTTTTACTTTCTCACCTTCCCTGTTGGTGCAGCCAGCTATTGTTTGTATCATTTTTCATTGATGTACAGAACAAATGCTTCCGTGGGAGAAACTATGTGATCTGTGAAGGGAGTTTGGTTACAAGTAGAGACCGACCGAAAGTGATTTTCTGATTTCGGCCGAAGCCGAAAATAGGCCGAAAGTTTAAAATGACTTTCGACCGAACCCGAAAAAATAGCAAAAGTTTAAAAATGACTTTCGGCCGAAACCGAATAAATACCGGTTAAAAATGACTTTCGGCCGAAACAGAAGCCGAAAATGAAATATTTTGAAATTCGTTCCATCATACATTCTGCATACATGTAAAATGATGGGAGAAAGTATAAACATTTACATTTTTTATAAAAAAATGAGATAATCGTGAATATTAATAAATAAACATCTATTATAACATCTTGTTGTTAAGATCGTTTAGTTTGTTCTTAAAGATCGCTTAGCTTGTTGTTAAAAATCGTTTTTTTGTTTTTTAAGATAGCTAGTTTGTTCTTAAAGATTGCTTAGTTTTTGTTTAAAGATCTTTTAGTTTGTTATTAAAGATCATTTAGTTTGTTCAAAAAAATATCGCTAAGTTTTTTTCTTAAAGAACACTAAGTTTGTGTTATTAAAAGATCGTTTAGTTTGTTCATAAAGATGGCTAAGTTTGTTCTTAAAGATCTTTGATTTTGTTTTAAATATCGCTTAGTTGTTCTTAAAGATCATTCAGTTTGTTATTAAAGATAATTTAGTTTGTTTGTATAGATCTTTCAGTTTGTTATTAAAAATCTTTTAGTTTGTTCTTAAAGATCGTTTATTTTGTTTTTGAAAATTGCTTAGTTTGTTCTGATAGATAATTGATTTTGTTCCTTAAGATCGATTAGTTTGTTCTAAAAGATCTTTTAGTTTGTTCCTAAAGAACATTTAGGTTTCTGTTAAAGATCGCTTAGTTTATTCTTATAAATCATTTATTTTACTATTAAAGATACTTTGTTTTGTTCTTAAAGATCACTTAGTTGGTTCTTAAAAATCACTTAGTTTGTTCTTTAAGATCATTTAGTTTTTTTTATTAAAAATCGCTTTATTTGTTTTTAAAGATCACTTTATTTGTTTTTAAAGATCGTTTAGTTTATTCTTAAAGATCACTTAATTTTTTCTTAAAGATCGTTTAGTTTGTTCTTAAATGTCGCTTAGTTTGTTGTTAAATATCGCTTTTGCTGAGAATTAGATGACCGCAAAACCTCAGTCACGGCCGAAAGTCTAAGTCAATTTTGGCCGAAACCGAAAAAAAAAAAATAGTTAACTTTTCTCTTTCGGCCGAAACCAAAATTAAGCCAAAAGTTAACTTTCAGTTTTGGCCCGAAACCAAAACTTGGCCGAAAGTGATAAAATGGCCACTTTTGGCGCCGAAACCGAAGCTGAAATTCGGTCTGTCTCTAGTTACAAGGCAACTAAATCATGCCGCATTGTAAGAAAGAAAATAACATAAAGAGATAATAAGGGGAGAAACTGCTATAAGGTTAGCAAAATAGGAAATGAGTAAAACAAATAAAACAATTTTATTGTTTTTACTGTTGATTCTTCGCTAACGAAGGCTTCCTGCCGATACGTTTTTTTGTTTGTTTTGCGTTCCTTTTTTTTAAAGATTTGACCTTAATTTGTTTTACTCATTTCCTAACATAAAGAGAGCTATTTTCTGTTATATAAGAAATATTGGTGAAACCCACCCAGTTTTCAGGTCTCGCCAGAAACCCTATTCCCCATTATAATAAGTGTATGGGTGTGCCATACCCACTTGCAATGGACAGGGTATGCAATTTTTTGCAGCGGAAAGGGTTAAATAATAAGACCAAGGCTGTTTCAAATATGAAAAATCTTCATTAGACATAACAATTCCGTGTTTACGATTTTCTAATCATATAGCAGGGGAGCAGGCAAAAGTTTAGTTAAATCTTTAAACGAAGATAACCAATTCATTACATTCCAATGGTGTTACAGGCATTTAATATTTTTGATAAATATAAGGACTTGTTTCAAAAGTGTGCTTTTCTTTCTTTTTTAAGTGGGTGTGAAAATGGGTGGGAACTAAGTGGGAAGGCTTATATTAAAAAGCAGATAAATATTTGTAAAAAAACTAAATGCAAAATTTGCAGTTTGGTGGATATGTGGAAAAAATGGTGAAGAGATGGGTTTTTGTTTATGTGGTTCTCGTCGCATCGATGGACATACTATCTATTTTTTAGCACATACAGGCAATACTGAAATTACCTAAAAACTTAGTTTGATCGCACACACGGGTAATCTTGAACTTAGACAAAATTTAGGTTGAAAGCAAAAACAGGCAATGTTATACTTACCCAAAAACCTAGTTTGAAAGCACATGCAGGCAATGTTATTACCAGCCAAACCTAAAAAGAACCGAGGTACGCGATTGACATGACGACTCAAGGCGTCCAGTTCTATCTCATCCAGGTAAACTATCGCATTCCCCGTAAGGTCCAGAAACTCCAAGTTTGGGGTCGATGTCAGGTCAAAGGGTATTCCCGAAAATCTATTTTTGGCTAATACAAAATGAGTGACATTTGGATTCGTGGCAAACAATCTATGTGGAAGCTTGTTCAAGTTGTTCTCCGTTAGGTCCAGGTACATGAGATGTGTCAGGTAACGGATTAACCGGTCACATGACAGGCGAACAAAGAAATCATCTGGCTTGATCGACTTAAGAATGAGGTACCTCAAGTTTGTCATGTTGTCAAAAAAATGCTCCGCGACAATAAAGGTAGACCCTGTCAAGTCAAATAATTGCAAATTAGTCAGTCCATAAACATGCCCTGTGCCTCTGACCGGGCCGTTATTCATGAAGTAGAAATGAGTGAATTTCTTGACGTTGACGAACTGGATGCTGAAGTTAAAAAAGTCACTCAAGCCCGTCATGAGACCCACAGTAGTGAAAGTTGACAGCGAAGGAGGGAGACCGATGGTAAACAGACCTGATCCAGTGAAAAATATTTTGGCGCTGCCATTGATGAGATGTGTAAGGCTGACCGGTTGACTGTGTAACATCTGTGACAGCCCATTGTCCGCCGAGGAGTTGACGTTTTTGTGGCTGGAAGCTGACAGAGCATGGTCAACCTTTCCAGTTGATCGATTTTGATTGTTTGAACCCTGTTTTCTAGTTATCTCTAGACTTTGAGCTTTTATTTTATTTACACGTGCCTTTAACATTTGATCGCTTGGTCCTAGTATGTTGCTCAATTTGTTTCCAATGGGCTGGAAATTCTTGGGACTCAGTTTGCTGATCTCAATTTTCCTGCTATTGTCATTTAAATCCATTGCTGGTTCCCCATTAATCATTTGACCTTCTAGCTTTGGATGAGTTTCTTCAAACGTTGCAAAAGGGGACGAGAGGGTGAATTTCACCATATTCTTCAGGAGATATAAATCAATGACGTTGGCCTTCCACCCAAGATGGCCGAAATTGTTATCTGAGAAATCCATACTTTTAATCGAATATTGCCACACAGGGCTGTCAAAACCCCTTGGCACGATAGCGAATATATTGCTTCCAATCCAGGAGAAGTGAGACAAGTTTATTTGTACCAGATACTTCATTGTGCTTTTCAGCAGTATGTAGTCCTTCATCGCGTAAGTTGGGGTGTTGAAGTCCAGCCAGAAATTGGTCTCCTTCAGCACAACTGACGTCATGGTCCTGTTCACAAAATGTCTCATCTTTCTAGCGATGTTCTGATTTCCTATCCTACACCCGTCTATGGTCAGGTGTGTTAATGACATCAGATTTTGAAAAGCATCGTCATCAAAGTGCGTGTCGTTCTCAGACTGGTAGTCAGTGTCGACAGAAATCTGATCCAGGTTAATAAGAACAAGAACTCGGACATTTAAGGACCACAGCCCGGTAAAACTAAAGTTTGTGATGCATGTTACGTCAGGGCCATTGACTGTGACCTTGGACAACAGGGTCAAGCTAGAAAACTCTTCCCCTAAGTGCAGCGTAGAATTAAGTCCATCTATGGAAAGCGTTGTTAAGTTCTTCAAGTAACTGAAAATATCAATGAAGTCAGAATAGATTTTGAGTGGTTCCCCACAAACTCCTCCTCTGAATGCACTGTCGGTGAACAGCGTATTGTTGGAATCTTTATCGCCAAGACGCCTCGTCGCGCCAACATGTCTTTTTCTCCTGCTCCGGTATTTCTCATTGTCAGAACTCTTCTCCTTGTCATCCTGGTAAGCTATGTAAAGTTCTCTCAGGCCAGGAACATGTCTGAACATCGTCTTGGGGAATTTCATGAGTTTCAACGGCAGCCTGTTGGACTCCAGATTGAGAACCTCCAACTGATTAAGGCCGCACAATGCATTCACCTGAACAGTTCACAGATAGGTTAATTGCATGTCAATATTTTAATAATTAGTCGAGTTCACAGATTTCTAGCATCATTCAAGTCTTCTTTTTGTAATGTGATTGAACATTTAATGATAAGAAAAGAAAGATAAAATTCAAGAAAATACTCTTTTAATGATTCAAGTAAACGGAAAAGTGATTGAATAACTTTGTTCATAATACTGATTTTGATAATTTGGATAAACATTATGAATAAGGTCACAATTCAAATTAAGAAATTTATTGGTTTTCTTTTGGGAAAAATTAGGTGTCCCACCTCAAACAGACAATAATTTATGTAATCTGAAAATTATTAAAGCGTCTCTTTTCTTAATTATGCCCCCCCACCCCCACCCCCACCCCCCTCAGTATGTTGCAGTAATCCACATTGCCTCTAGTTTTAATTAACAGTCTACTCATCAAATTTTAAAAAAGATATCCGTTAAGGCGCCTCACCTCAATTTCTTGAACATAAGAGGCGGCGATGCTGAGGTTGCGCAGTGACTTCAATCTAACGAAGGCATTGTCATTTAGTACTGCAATGGTGTTGTTGTCCAGCGTTAAACTGACCGTGTCATTGGGCATCCAGCTTGTATCGACAGCGGTGAGTCCACAATTGGTGCAGTCGACCACGTGACCAAGGTGGCAAGCAGAGTAGCGCACACTGCAGCAGTATTTACCCCCCTTTGAGTCAGTTGACGTCAGTATATCCTGGTCTGCCTCATTGAGAGGTAACATCAGGACGTGCAGCCAGCTGGCCATTAAACTTGCAAGGAAACAGACACGGCGGACTGTCGTTGCCATAGCTACAGTACCTCAACAGAGAAAACAGTTGATTAAAATAATGTTCACATTTTAAAACAAATAGATGTATTTAAATAGTTCCTATTTTAATGTAACTTTTAATGTCTCCTTCATTGTTGCGTTACAATAAAATTACAATGACCAATCTCATGCAAACAGTCACTCGTGCAGGCCGAGCATGACAACTAGCATATTATTTAATATAACACACAGTCAAAGTCTAAAAACAAGCCAAAAACAAGGACATTTCAAGTGAAGAGCCAGAAATATATGTTTTTAATGTGCTCAAACTGAATCAAGATGTGTCCCATATATCAAATAATTTGTTAGTGTTTGTTTATGTTCCTAATGGTTTATCCTATGCTTCTTTTAAAGAGAATATAGCAGAACGAATCCCCCCCCCCCCATCCTTTTATGCCTCACAAAACAAGTACAAAATTGTGCGATGCACCAATCGTTTCACTGTGGGCCCTTGGGTTTATAAGTATGTTGATTATAAAAAAAAATCACAACCACCGTCCAAAGTGAAGAAAGGCTTGAAGACCAAAGAATTGTTCAAAACTGTACAATCACTAAAATGTAAAAAAATGCAAAAAATGTCTGGAACTGTAGAAATGATATTAACCTAATTATCAAGTACACTGCTACAAAACTTTCCATATAAAAGATATGCAGGGCTTTTATCTGAAGCACTCTCATTTAACAGGTCTTGGTTTGCATTTTATACTGAAATGAACAATTAGTTAATTTTTTTTTACAAAAACAGGATACGTCCCCGCTTATCCATTCAAGTATAAGGGATAGATAAATGATTTTGGTTTACATCATAGTTCCTACATTTGAGAATTTGTGTGCCCAATCCCAGCACAATCTGACAATAATTGTGGAAAATAACTGGACAACAGTTAGCACAAGTGTTGTTTTTTTGGCAAACTTTAAGCAAACTAAAAACAACTATTTTATTACCTAAAAGCAATCGATACCCTCCTCTCTTTCAGCTTCTTCTTCATTAGATGTACTTGCTTTATGCAGTGTTTACTTTATAGCACTGTAGCTACTTTCCCCCCACTGGTTTTGGTAGGTCCATTACACCAAAAAAAGGTCTCCAGCTTTGATTTTTCTGCTCCTATACTTTGCATAGCAAAGACAGCTTGTCTTTTCACTATGTTTACAAATGAATTGTCTATAGGTTAGCTATCTGGGGTGATGAGGAGAAAGCAGGCCTCTTATCATAGTTTTTATTGTTACAATGAAATGTAAATGTCCTGGCTAGCCCCTTTCTTTCAATTTTATACAATTAGGGTTGCCAGATAGCCAGTTTTTTTGAAAGACTCTTGCATGAACAGTGGATTTTATTTTTCCAAAGTTGCCCAAATGCATGTTGTTTTTCAGAGTTACTTAAAATTTGTGAATTTAGCTCAATATTCTCCGTCCGGCAGGCAAAGCTAAAATCTTTTAAAATGTCCGACTTTTCTTATATTTTATATTACAATTTTTATGTATCGTTGTTACAACTATTACATCGTATGTTTATATTGTTACAATGTACAAAGTGTATGCATTTCTGCGAACCAATCGATTTTAGTCATTCTAACAATCTACCTCCGTGCTGTATTATCTATGGTCTAAATGTTAATGTTATTTACGGTTCCGGCAACAAAGACGCATATTAAATAAAATCAAAGACTGTAAATTTGATGACCTTTTCGCATGAATATTGTATCTGAAAGAGAAGGGTATTATTGTAGATGATGTACAATTGTTTGACCAATACTGCAATCTTAAATCATTTGTACAAGACAAAAATGAACAGTTTTTTGAAAGCCTCTTGCATGAACAGTGGAGTTTATTTTTCCAAAGTTGCCCAAATGCATGTTGTTTTTCAGAGTCACTTAAAATTTGTGAATTTTTCTTCTGTATCCCTGGACACAATTGCAATGTGGAAAGAGTGTTTTCCTTGATTAATGATCAATGGACAACGGAAAGGAATAGACTCCTACTCGACTCTGTAAAGAGCTTCATTCTTACAAAGTACAATTTGAAGAATCTTATCTGCGAACAGTTTTATGCATATGTGATTGCTAACGATGATCTTCTGCGAAAAGTTGGCTCCTCCGAGAAATATGTCATGTAATTAATAAAGATTATAGGATAATGATTGTACAATTGGATATTAATATGATGTTTCTTGACATTTTGAAAAAGCCGTCCATTGAATTTGTTTTTTTAACGTGACTGTTTCTTGGTCGATTCACTAAGAGTAAGATACACTTAATTGGCAGCTATTACAATAAAATTCCTGACTGTGAGTTTAATCTGGGATGACTCAAATGAAACATTCAAAATGTCCTCCTTTGTCCTCCTTTTTGTTTTATTATGTCCTCCTTTTGGTGTCCACGTATCTGGCAACCCTACATACAACCTCACAGTATAGTGACAGTGACAAGACACCCAATCATTCGGCAAATGCAAAGCAACAGTGTCACCCAGAAGTCTAAAATTCTATTACCTTCTCTGATTCTCCTCTGGATTGTCAACATCATCATTGGTGCTGCACATTCTTCCTCATTTTCAGATGATTCGTTTTCAACATATGTCCCCCTGGTCACAATAAATCTCTACATTATCATTGTTAGATAGGCCCAGGTGGCCCCTTGGTCAGGTCTACATCTATCAGTAAGATCAGTATCAGCCAATGCCTATGCTATGGACCATGGCACAGCCGTTCAATCCGTTCATCATTTTGAAAGCCTGTTCAACACCTACCATTTTCTTTCCCTTTGCAAACTGATTGCCACTACCTTTACGGCGTTTTGGAGGCTTGTAAAGTCCATACTTTCGATCATTAGGCATTTTTTATGTAAAAGATCACAGTAATCACAAAAATCAGTTCAAAGTTATTTAAACATATCGTCCTATGACAGCCAAAACAAGATTCACACGGAAATACAAAATTCAGGAGTAGCTCATTATTTAAAATCTTCATAGGGAGCGGTTATTATTTATTTAATACCGGTACGTTGTTATGTGACCGAGTGTTGTTTTCCGCTATTTTTAAGCATTCAGAGAGCCCACTTCTACCCTCTTTAGATATCAATAGCTACCAAACTAAATAACTGTATAAAAATTTGTACACACTATATGAAAGAGAAATGATTGCTGAATAAAATGACGATTCAGATTTTCTTTGTTTGAAAAAAAACGTTTATGAAAATTCTTGGTGACTGTGCCCTCTTTACCGGCAGAAAAGAATAATACTTGGAACTAATTCCTTTCAATAATTAATTTTTAAACTTGTATTTTACCGACACTATCAATCACTTGACTAAAATATTTTCTCTTCCACTCTCTTGGAATAATTTTTGATTAAATTACAAAAAGTCTATTGACTGCCACTCGAATCTAACACAGGTTCTCCCATTAGTAGTTTGGGTGGGTGGGGGGGGGGGGTCCGCTAACAAGCTTAGCCAAAGAACCACGTCTACCAACGGTAGCAATAGCACCACTACTAACACAACTTTTGTAACACTGATTGTATCCGAAAAATTGATTTAAAAGAAATGTATTCGACGGAAAATTGATCGACGGAAATTCATTCTAACGGAAATTTGGTCGAATCATTTTTTTCAGTTCACACGTTAAAATTTTGCTTCAAATTCAAATTTCTTTTTGAACACATTATTTTGTTTTACTGTATATTATAGTGCGTTCAAAAATAAATTTGACGAAAATTTTATCACTGGTGAGGGTCACTGACCAAGGTGTTGGCAGGTGAGGGTCACTGACCCAGGTGTTGGCCTCGTTGCCATCGGATCTGACAACGAACTCAGCATTTTGTCGCTCACACGTGACTCGCCATGTGATGCCCGCGTTTCAGTTTACATCGGAAAAGTGGGTGGGGTGGTGGTGTTGTATCAGATGTATCCCGATTTTGCTGGAGATCTTGGGTCTCAAACTCACGACCCACGGGCTATTTGCGGCCCGCAAGACGATATTTTGCGGCCCGCTACATGACAGCAAAGTTTAGTGTAATGCGGCCCGTGAGCTTTCCCCATTCTCATAGATATAGTGTGACCCTCCGCAGTCGAAGTTTCAGTCAAATCTCAGCGACTAGTCTAATTCTGATTTTTATTGTGATTGAATAGATTTGGACGTTAATTATAATGGTAAAAACCGTTCTAAAATTGGACTAAATGTTTTTATTTCATAGCATTTTATGAGAAAAACATGGCCAAATTGCGGTTTTGAGTAAGGTTTAAAAAGTAAGTTAATTGATAATGCACAACCATAATTGTGTCAATCGAAGCAACCTGACACAGTATCGAAGAATCCCTATTAAAATTGCCGCTACCGTTAACGAGTGAGGGAAATTCCGAGTCTGTCAGCTTGGTTCCATTTCAAAATAGGTTAGCCAAAAAGGTTTTTTATACGATTAAAAAAATCAAAAGTCATTCTCCCTACAATGGCATCTTCCTTCACATCAATAATTCATAAATATTGCCAGCACCTGCCTTCTGTCTGAACATATTTTTGCATGGAGAAGAGAGGGGTAGTTTTTCCTGTACTAAGTGATCCCAAATGGCTCATGGACTTGACTTTTCTTGTTGACCTTACACAGGAGCTTAATTTACTCAACAATAAGTAACAATACCAGGTGCAAAGTGTCAGTGACAATGTCAGGGCATTCTGCACAAAACTTGTGTTCTGGTTCTTAGAGAAACCTCTGCCATTGCCCAACATGAAAAGTACTCATGGACTTGGGGACACCATTCAGTAGTGACTATACTGATGCCATTGCACATCTACAGGCAGAATTTGATGACATGTTGTTTTTTTTTACTTCAAAACACACAGAGCCGCTTTTCAACTTCTCGCTGACCCTTTCTACTTTTATGTGGAAGATGCGCCCGCCCCCCAACATTGCACTTCAAATGGATCTGATTGATCCTCAGTGCAATTCTAAGTTCAGTGACTGAATGGAGAAAGAGACAAGCATGGAAAATTTAGGAGAGCCTTGCCCTCCACCTTCACTGAGATTTCCAGGATGCTCAATGGGATCATTTGACTTTTTTTGGGAGTACCTATCTGTGTAAAAAGCTCTTTTCTCACGATGAAATTTAACAAGTCAAAGTTCAGGGCCAAACTTACTGATGAGCATTTTCAAGCTATACTGAGGGTCTCAGTTGCTTCCTCACTCAAGCCAAATGTTGCTCTCAGCTGTGCAAGAAGAAGCGCTGCCAGTTCTCTGGCAACGAGCAGTAGGAGGAAGAAATCGAAGCCTAGTTCTTGAGAACCCTTAATGTTTTATTTTTTTATTAAGAAAGTTTGAGCCTATTGGAACAGGGGTAATTTATTGAATTTGTAACCTCTTTTTTAAAATTAAAAAAAAACTTGATGTGGCCCAGTCTCACTCAGACTCTACCCCTTGCGGCCCCTGGATGATTTGCGTTTGAGACCCCTGCTGTAGATTTTATAGAACAGCCGTCTATGACTCGTGATGTTCTCATTATGTTACTCGACATTTCTGATTAAGGTAACATTGTGTTAGTAAAACTGTATTAAAATTTTATTGTACTATAATGTTGACCAAAAACTCAGATCATTAGCATGCTGTTAAATGAATTGGTGAAGATGATCGCCATAATTCTATTTTTAAGAATCAAATGACGATATTTTCTTGACCATTTCACATGGGGGCACCATAGACTTAAAAACTCAAACTACGTCTCATTCGTCAAGGATTAATTCTTTGACTTACTGAAAGAGTCCAAGAAGTACGAAAAGAGTTTAGTTATCTATATCCGTCCTCTGAACGCTGTGGATTTTCTTGTGGTGTTGAGAAGGCTAAGAGATGGCACGATGTGGTCTACTGAACCAAATCCAGTTACGCTTGGTGTTATAGATGTAAGCATGTAGGACAACTGCAGTCACATGACTATTTTTTTTTTCACAATGTGTCTCCGCCTCTAAGCATATTAGGAATTGAATACCCGGCATACAGACAGAAGCCTCTCGTCCAATATCCCGCATACAGACAGAAGCCTCTCGCCCAATACCCCGCATACAGACAGAAGCCTCTCGTCCTTCTAAGGCGGTTCTAAACGTTTTCTTTGTTCTCAGTTACCCCACAAAATAAATTATGTTTACGTTTGCAGAACGGGTCGCCAAACCGAAGTAAATTACCCCAAGTGGGGTAAAATGAAAATCTTGAGGGTAATGAGGGGTAACGAGAGATAACACTATTTTTGAAGCGTTAAAACAGATTTGTAATTTTTTTTTTTTTTTTTTAAATAAAAACATCATTTCACCAGCTAACAAAAAAACCCAGCCAACATGTGATTATTGAGCAGCGACTCCGGGCAGTTATCATCGTTCCTGCTTGCGTACGTCATTTTGGCAAAGCCGCCTATTGCTCTAGGGTGCTGGGTGGGCTGCAGGGGCGTTATTTCAGTTTTTTTTCAGGGAAGGGTGGAACAAAACCAAAACTTGGTCGGCTTGTTAGGTTGTTTATTACTGGCGGCACCACAGTACATAGAAATTTAAATAGAACCGGCAAATTCGGGGTGGGGGGCATATGCCCCAACCCTGCTCTATCAAAATGACGACCATGCCGAGCGGTCTAAACTGAGTCAATTTCAGTCTATGGTGCTACCATGGCAAATGTCTTGGTTTGGCTATAATGCTACCATTTAAAATGTCTTGGTTTGTCTATGATGCTACCATGAAAAATGTCTTGGTTTGTCTATGATGCTACCATGTCAAATGTATTGATTTGTCTATGAAGCTACCATGTCAAATATCTTGGTTTGTCTACGATTGCTACCATGTCAAATATCTTGGGTTGTCTATGATTGCTACAATGTCAAATGTCTTGATTTGTTTATGATTCTACCATGGCAAATGTCTTGGTTTGTCTATGATTCTACCATGGCAAATGTCTTGGTTTGTCTATGATTGCTACAATGTCAAATGTCTTGATTTGTTTATGATTCTACCATGGCAAATGTCTTGGTTTGTCTATGATGCTACAAAGCAAACTTCTACTTCCATGACATTGTGGTATATGTCATCGGCAACATGCTGTATCGACGTGATTGTCTGTCACATGTCATTAGACAAAAAACTGTACCGGCGATGTGGTCTGGCATGTCAATAGAAACATATTTTAATTTCTTTCTTTTTTTTTTTTTTATTAAAAAAAAATCAGATTACTGTTTGAGAACCATCGTCTTAAGTCAGGCGTAACCCGTAAGAGTAACACAATTTGAAAGAGATGAAAGTTCCAGGCGTTTATTTATATAAATATGTCAATAGAAACATATTTTAATTTCTTTCTTTTTTTTTTTTTATTAAAAAAAAATCAGATTACTGTTTGAGAACCATCGTCTTAAGTCAGGCGTAACCCGTAAGAGTAACACAATTTGAAAGAGATGAAAGTTCCAGGCGTTTATTTATATAAATTCACTTCCTTCTCTCGGCATTGATGCGTAGCGGCACACAAACTAGGGGAATGCACCATTTGGCTTGACCTTGCTTGCCGATAGCCCAGCCGAATCGTGTGAAACCGGTTTAAGACACATGCTTGTTTTTTTTTTGTTTTGTTTTTTTCCAACGCAGTCAACTTAGCTGTTCAAAAAATATTACCTACAATCAAACCCGCACTATAACTAAACCCGCACATGGAATTTTAACTAAACCCGTTCATTACCTATTATTAAACACACACAATTACCTAGCCAAACCCGCACATTGCCTATAACTTAGCCCACAAATTACCTAGCCAAATCCGCACATTGCCTATAACTTAGCCCACAAATTACCTAGCCAAACCCGCACATTGCCTATAACTTAGCCCACAAATTACCTAGCCAAACCCTCACATTGCCTATAACTTAGCCCACAAATTACCTAGCCAAACCCGCACATTGCCTATAACTTAGCCCACAAATTACCTAGCCAAACCCGCACATTGCCTATAACTTAGCCCACAAATTACCTAGATAAACCCGCACATTGCCTATAACGAAAGTACTCATTTCATTCAATGTTCTTGACTTCATTAAAAGCACCATCGACACACTACATGGAACACTGAGAGCGTCTGAGCACAGTTCTCGACTAGAAAGGAAGTTGTTAAGACCGCGGATTTTTTTTTTTAGACAAACCCTTTTGCTGATTTTACAAAACATTTAATCGTCTGCACAGCAAAGTCATGTTTTGACATGCTTTTAGAAGCTCAGGTCAAGGTCACGGACGTCATTTCAGGTATTTTCAAAGAAGGATTGAGGTTGAAAGTGGGTGGGGGGGGGGGAACCAAGACTTGGCTGGCTTGTTGAGTTGTTAATTACTAATTGGATCCCGATCCGGGTGGGATCCCGAAACCGGTGGGTTCCCGATGCCATCGGTATCCCGATCCCGGTGGGATCACCATCCTTGTAGGTTTCCAATTCTCATTTCCCGTTTGGAATCAAATCCCGGTGGGATCCCAATTCTGGTGTGGTCCCGTTTCCCGATGTGATCCCGATTCCGGATTATTCCGATTCCGGGTGATCCCGATCCCAGTGGGTTCCCAATCACAGAAGAATCCCATACTGGTGGGATCCCGATCCCGTCGTTATTCTGATTCTGGTGGGACCCCGATACCAGTGGGTTCTCGATCCCATCAGTATCCCGATCCCGGTGGAATCCTGTTTTCTTCGTCAGGTGACCTGCAAGTGGGGCAGATGTATCATGGCCAATCTCATACACAAGCTCTCCATTACATAAGCTTAAACTTGCCCTTATACTACCTTTACTAAATACGGGACTAATCTATTGGATATATATCAAGTGGATATATCAGGTCGACATACCAAGTGGATATGTCAAGTGGATATATCAAGTGGATATATCAAGTGGATATATCAAGTATCTACCTTTACTAAATACGGGATATATCAAATGGATATATCAAATGGATATATCAAATGGATATATCGAATGGATATTTAAAGCCACAGCCCCGGGGAAAGAAAGGCCCCCATGTTTTTGATTGAGACATTTGTTATAGTGACCTATATATTTGTTAGAGTTTGTTGAGGTTTTTTTTATAATCAATCATGTAATTATGTCAAACAAAATAAGTTCTTTACCGTAATATATATATATATATATATATATATATATATATATATATATAAAACATGATTTTTTTTAATTGCGTGATAAAGATTGTTTTTGATTGAGACATTTGTTATAGTGATCTATATATTTGTTAGAGTTTGTTGAGGTTTTTTTTATAATCAATCATGTAATTATGTCAAACAAAATAAGTTCTTTATCGTAATATATATATATATATATATATATATATATATATATATATATAAAACATGATTTTTTTTAATTGCGTGATAAAGACTTCCTTGAAACAACTAACAGTTTTATGATTTATTCAAATCATTATCTGATTTTTCCCGCCTTTCATTTAATGTAAAAAAAAAACTTTCAACCAATTTTCGTAACCCTGAGGCATGACTGCCAGTGCTGGAGCCTAGAATCTACTCATAGTTTTAAAAACAAACAAACAGACCTTATCATGTCCCCATTGATCTTTAATGCAGTTAACAATACGGCCCTATCACTGTTATGCAGGCTACAGTTCGGGAGAATCATATCTCTCTTAACTCATGTCTCCTTAAAGTCTTGGTTTGATATGTCTTGGTTTTTCTATGATTGCCACCATGGCAAATATCTTAGTTTGTCTATGATGCTACCATGTCCATTGTCTTGGATTGTCTATTATTGCTACCATGTCAAATGTATTGGTTTGTCTATGATGCTACCATGTCAAATACCAATGGCAATCATCACTTTGAAATAACATTGTTGTGTGTCATATTGTCATTAGACAAAAAAACTGTACTGGCGATGTGGTCTGGTATGTCAATAGAAACATCTTCTAATTTCTTAATTTAAAAAAAAAAAATAAATCAGATTACTGTTTGAGAACCATCATCTGAAAAAAACTCAGGCGTGACCCGTAAGTGTTACACAATTTGAAAGAGATCTAAGAAGTTCCAGTTGTTTATTTATATAATTTCACTTCCTTCTCTGGGCGTTGATACGTGGCAGAACACAAACAAGGGAATGCACCCATTGGCTTGACCTTCCTTGCCGATAGCCCAACCAAATCGCGTGGAACCAGTATACGTCACATCCTTGTTTTTTTGTTGTTTTTTTTTAAATGCAGGAAATTTAGCGGATCAACACACATTATCTACAGTTACACTCGCACACTACCTATAACTAAACCCGCACATGGAATATAACTAAACCCCCACATTACCTATGACTAAATCCACACATTACCTATAACTAAACCCCCACATTACCTATAACTAAACCCCGCACATTACCTATGACTAAACCTCCACATTACCTATGACTAAACCTCCACATTACCTATAACTAAACCCCCACATTACCTATAACTAAACCTCCACATTACCTATAACTAAACCTCCACATTACCTATAACTAAACCCCCACATTACCTATAACTAAACCTCCACATTACCTATAACTAAACCGCCACATTACCTGTAGCTAAACCCGCACATTACCTATAACTAAACCCCGCACATTACCTATAACTAAACCTCCACATTACCTATAACTAAACCTCCACATTACCTATAACTAAACCCCCACATTACCTATAACTAAACCCCCACATTACCTATAACTAAACCGCCACATTACCTGTAGATAAACCCGCACATTACCTATTACTAAACCCCCACATTACCTATAATTAAACCCACGCCAATACCTCTAACTAAACACATACCAATACCTACAACTAAACCCACACGTGGAATATAACTAAAATAATACATTACCTATAACTAAACCCGCACATTACCTTTAACTAAACCCGAAAATTACCTATAACTAAACCTGCTCATGGAATAAAACTAAACCCATAAATTACCTATAACTAAACCCCCACATTACCTATAACTAAATCTACACATTACCTATAACTAAACCCCCACATTACCTATAACTAAACACCCACATTACCTATAACTAAACCCCCACATTACCTATAACTAAATCCGCACATGGAATATAACTAAACCCCCACATTACCTATAACTAAACCCGCACATTACCTATAACTAAACCCACACCAATACCCATAACTAAACCCGTTGCTTACCTATTATTCAACGCAAACAATCAGCTCTAATTGAACCCACACATTGCCTATAACCAAACCCACAAAATACACCCGGGTAAACCCGAAATATTGCCTAGAACGAAAGTACTCATGGCATTCAGTGTTCTTGACTTCCTTAAAAGCACCATCTACACACTACGTGGAACACTGAGAGCGTTTCAGCACAGCTATTGACTTCATTAAAAGCACCATCTATACACTAAGTGGAACACTGAGAGCGTCTCGGCACAGTTCTTGACTTCCTTAAAAGCACCATCTACACACTACGTGGAACACTGAGAGCGTCTCAGCACAGCTATTGACTTCATTAAAAGCACCATCTATACACTAAGTGGAACACTGAGAGCGTCTCGGCACAGTTCTTGACTTCCTTAAAAGCACCATCTACACACTACGTGGAACACTGAGAGCGTCTCAGCACAGCTATTGAATTCATTAAAAGCACCATCTATACATTAAGTGGAACACTGAGAGCATCTCGGCACAGTTCTTGACTTCCTTAAAAGCACCATCTACACACTACGTGGAACACTGAGAGCGTCTCAGCACAGCTATTGACTTCATTAAAAGCACCATCTATACACTAAGTGGAACACTGAGAGCGTCTCAGCACAGTTCTTGACTTCCTTAAAAGCACCATCTACACACTACGTAGAACACTGAGAGCGTCTCAGCACAGTTCTTGACTTCCTTAAAAGCACCATCTACACACTACGTGGAACACTAAGAGCGTCTCAGCACAGCTATTGACTTCATTAAATGCACCATCTATACACTAAGTGGAACACTGAGAGCGTCTCAGCACAGCTATTGACTTCATTAAAAGCACCATCTATACACTACGTGGAACACTGAGAGCGTCTCAGCACAGCTATTGACTTCATTAAAAGCACCATCTATACACTAAGTGGAACACTGAGAGCGTCTCAGCACAGTTCTTGACTTTGAAGAGATGTTGTTAACACCGCGGAATTTGTGTAGATGAACCCGTATTTTGACCATCTATACACTAAGTGGAACACTGAGAGCGTCTCAGCACAGCTTTTGACTTCATTAAAAGCACCATCTATACACTACGTGGAACACTGAGAGCGTCTCAGCACAGCTATTGACTTCATTAAAAGCACCATCTATACACTAAGTGGAACACTGAGAGCGTCTCAGCACAGTTCTTGACTTTGAAGAGATGTTGTTAACACCGCGGAATTTGTGTAGATGAACCCGTATTTTGACCATCTATACACTAAGTGGAACACTGAGAGCGTCTCAGCACAGCTTTTGACTTCATTAAAAGCACCATCTATACACTACGTGGAACACTGAGAGCGTCTCAGCACAGCTATTGACTTCATTAAAAGCACCATCTATACACTAAGTGGAACACTGAGAGCGTCTCAGCACAGTTCTTGACTTTGAAGAGATGTTGTTAACACCGCGGAATTTGTGTAGATGAACCCGTATTCTGATTTTACCAAACATTTAACCGACTGCACAACAAGTTCGTGATCTTTTGACACACTTTGATAAGCTCAAGTCAAGGTCACGGACATCATTTCAGGTCTTTTCAAAGAAGGACTGGAGTAAGGGGGAGAACCAAAGCTTTGGCCGGCTACTTGAGTTGTTAATCACTAGTGGCAGCTCAGTACATAGCAATTTGAATGAAACCTGCGAAGTCAGAGTAGGGCTAGGGTTGTTTTTTTTCTTAATGCCCCCCATCCCCATACCCAAATGACGTCCCTGGTCAAGGCTACAACTAAAGTCGAAAAATTGCCTTCATCATCTTTCGCGTGCGAGGGACGATCAATGAAAAATAAGGATTTAAACAGAAAAGGAAAAAAAAAAAAAGGGAAAATTGAAATTCTAGTTCTAGAGATAACGAGGCCACCGTCTCACCAGTACGATTTTGATATTACAGTTTGGTTGTAGCACATGACCAATCACACCGAACGCCGAGGGCCGCGTGCCTCCGTTTACTGTTGCCCAGACACCCGATTTGTAAATTAATGTTGACTTCAATAAAAAAAAAAAACTATGTTATATACTGAACTGACTTCTAGCTTGAACCACGTGTATTGTATATAAAACTAGCTCATATACCCGGCGTTGCCTGGGATAGCATTCGGAAAAAAAACAACTTCCACAATCCCATCTCGTATGGCATCACGTTTCCTGGAGCGATCCCGATTCCGTTTTGATCCCGATTCCGTTTGGATCCCGATCCATGTCAGATCCCGATGCTGGTGGGACCCCGAAACCAGTGGGTTCCCGATGCCGTCGGTATCCCGATCCGGGTGTGATCCCGTTTCTTGATGTGATCCCGATTCCGTGTGATTCCCGGTGGGATCCCATCACAAAAGGATCCCATACCGGTGGAATCCCGATCCTGTCTTTATCCTGATTCTGGTTGGATCCCGATACCGGTGGGTTCCCGATCCCATCAGTATCCTGATCCCGGCAGATCCCGATGTCGGTGGAGTCCTGTTTTCTGGTGGGATCCCATTTCCAGGATTGATCCCGATCACGGTGGTTTCTCGATCCCGTCGCTTTCACGATCCCAGAGGGATTCGATACCGGAGGGATCCCAATCCCCGTGGAATCATGTTTTCTGGTGGGATCCAGCTTCCCGGATGGACCCCGATCCCGGTTCGATCCTGATCCCAGTTCGATCCCAATCATTTTAGATCCCAATCTTGGTGGGATCCTGTTTGCCGATGGGACCTAGAAAATATAGTGTTGTATCTAACTAAGCCCTTTGGTATTTATATAGCTTTTATAAGGTTAAATGAAATCCCACCCCCACCCCCCACGACCCCAGAGGAATGGATATTACTAGTTCATTACCCTTTGGTATGTGACTATGGATAATAGTGTGTGTACTAAGTTTGGTTTAGATTCATCCATTAATGTAGGAGTATTTGTTGGTAATTTCATTTGCATAGCTTATATTGGAAAAAACCCGACATTTTTGGCCCCCGGCCCCAAACGGAATGTTATAAAAAAGTTCATAACCCCCAAGTGTTCCTTCCGCGTAGTGATGTATATATTTCCCAAATTTTGGTTTAGATCTCTCACACCTTGTTACAACGTATGTGGAACAAACAAACACACACATGTTCACTATATTTCAAATGGCAATAAGATTATTATTATTATTGAAGGTTTTCTGGGAAGATGCTATCTGTACTTGAGCCAACTTCTTAACTGACAAAGGACTACACACAATACATTCTTTAAAAGGCAATCTCGGCTCTCTAGTTTTTGGAGGTGACCTTCGGCTTAGCACGTTTGAGGGTGTGGTATGGTCTGGGTGGGGGGGGGGATTAAGCTTTAAAAATGATTTTTTTAAGGGCTGGATTTTTAAAAATTGATAATAAAAAAAATAATTTAAAAATTCAGTAACCGGTTTGTGTAAATGAAATACCGGGTTTGGTTTAACATTCTTAGCGTGACCTACAAAAAATATTAGCTCTCTTTGATGTTGGGGCTATGACGTTTCTTCCCCCCCCCCTTTTTTTTTGTGTGTGTAATAGTAGTTCCTGCAACACAGTGCAGTATCAACACTCTTTCTGCTCACGCACAATAATAGCGTGGAACCACCTGAATGATGCCACTGTGAACTCGACATCGGTCGAAAGCTTCAAGGCTGCCCTGGCATCAGCTGGGAACTGTTAGAATAGCAACATCATACCCCCAACCGTTGCAAAGATGCCAGTACATGGATGGAGCAACGAAACATTACCAGAACCAGAACCTGCCTTGAAAGCGTTATGCTTCAATAATCGCACATTCCACAAGTCTGCTTAGGTTTTCATAGTAAATGTATCTACATATTAAAAAAAAAAAGTAATAATTGATATTCGTGGCATTTCAATTCAATGAGGTAACAAAGCCACGGACTCGGCATTTGAAAAGTTAAAGTCGTCACAAGGATAATCTCTCGCCATGTCGCGGGTCAACTGAAGCGTTTCCAACTGTTCTTTTCACATCGACGTCCTGGCGGGGATTTATTCATGTCAGCGCGTATTTCTTTGAAAGATTAAATTGCGCCCCCACTTCCCGAATTTTTTAAAACCCTAAACCGACACCCCGACAACTGAACGAGGCCGGGTGCTGAGCTATACAGGGCGTTCCTGCATCTGCAAATCGGCGCCCTCCTCCATTGCTAAGCTCCTTTCTCTCTCTCTCTCTCTCTCTATATATATATATATATATATATATATATATATATATGTCTCTCTCTCTCCCGGCCCACATGTTCGATCTACAGAGCATTCAATTCAGGGTCCGGGGGCCCCTTAAGTCAGGATCCGGGGGCCCCTTAAGTCAGGGTGTAGGAATATGTGTTGGTAATTTTATTTGTATAGCTTATATAGGAAAAAAACGACATTTTTGGCCCCCGGCCCCAACGGTCTGGGGCCCTTTAAGTCAGGTCCGGGGTTATTTAAGTCAGGGTCGGGGGGCCCTTTAAGTCAGGTTATGGGGGCGTTTTGA